TATGCTGCCGTGAGCTGCCGAACGCTGAGACGCGGTGGGTCACGGCTGCCTGCGTTTGATTCGTTGAGACGGGTGTCGCTTCTTGTGAGAGTGAAGGACCTCCACCCGAACCAGCCTGCGGACCACATTTATACCGATGTGAGCTGGTTAGCGCCGGGCAGCTGTGTGTGTATGCCAACATCAACGCAGCGCCGTTGGATGGAGGCTGTTTCATCCCACGAGTGCGAGTTGACACCGCTTGAGTGAGGATCGTGTGAGCGATTCGTCATGTCTTAGAGCAGCGGTGAGTTATAAAAACCCTTATTAAGGACACCGGCTCCTATGTGTGGAGGCTGTTTCATCCCACGAGTGCGAGTTGACACCGCTTGAGTGAGGATCGTGTGAGCGATTCGTCATGTCTTAGAGCAGCGGTGAGTTTTAAAAACCTTTATTAAGGACACCGGCTCCTATGTGTGGAGGCTGTTTCATCCCACGAGTGCGAGTTGGTACCGCTTGAGTGAGAATCGTGTAGCTCCAGTTGATAACGAGTTATTTTCGCTTACCATCATGTCGTGTGATCGACTCGTCATGTCTAGAGCGGCGGCGAGTTAAAAAACCTTTAATTAAGGACACCGGCTCATGTGTGGAGGCTGTTTCATCCCACGAGTGCGAGTTGACACCGCTTGAGTGAGGATCGTGCCGCTTGGGATGATAACGAGTTATTTTCACTTACCAGCGTGCCGTGTGAGCGACTAGTAATGTCTTGGAGCGGCGGTGAGTTTAAAAAACCTTATTAAGGACACCGGCTCTTTGTGTGTGCGGCCGCTGTGAGCTCATCCGAGCTTACAGACTGGCTAAAAAACAGACACTTTGATCATTAAATGATGATTTATTTCAACTTTTGTGTCACTTTTACACACACCCTCCGGAGACCGTCATTTTGAGAAACTTCTCTCTCATGAGCTCTGCGATTGTTTGCCCAGAGCGCTGTCTTGCAGGCGAACTCTGGGGAAACGCTGAGCTGCAGGTTGCCGGAATGAAGAGGGCTGGATTCTGACGGGCGGGGCTGGTGGTGGAACTCAGCGAGAGCCGCGGCCGTGGAAAAGTCGAAGCTTGCTCGCGACGGTCCCTCCAGCGGGCCGGGATGAGCCGCGCGGCTTGATGAGGTGGCGCACAGTCTCTGGCACCTCCTCCGACTGTTTCAATTCGCCAGCATGGTTTGAAGCTGCTCTGAACAGCGCGTCCGCGATGGGCTTCATCAGGTCTTGTGCAGTTTCTCCGGCAGCGAGGGGAGTAACGAAGCCAGGTGGATCGTTGGATCATCGTCATCCACGCTGCAATCCTCGACAGGCAAACCGTAGGAGAGGCACACATGTTGAGCTGACGTCAGCTGCCTTACAGAAGGAGTTCTTTGTCTCCAAGGCAGGTCTGCGGCCTTCAGTCCCTTGGACATGCTATATGCTAGCAGCGGGCACGTTGTTGCTAGCTGCGGCTGCCTGAAAAACACATCGGTGGGCTCGATTGGAGAGCGTGGTCACCGTCTGGTTCGTGTTCCTCCGGAGGGACGGGACGCTGCTCCGACCTGGGCAGCTTCGCTCCGAAGGCTTCCGCGAGGCTTGGCTCCAGGGGGGTTACCGAGGAATAGCCCCGCTCGGTGAATCCCTCAACTCTGGTGATGGGAGCGGACTGGGGACCGACTCCCCCAATCTACCAGGAAAAAACCGTCTGTGGCCTCGCCCGTCGAACGTCCTGTTGGAACACGGGGCCGTATGGATCAAGACGGTGAGCCAGAGTGGAGCCCAGTGAAAACAACCTTCCCGCCGATCATCCGAACTGGCGGGAAAAGGCGTGGGACGTAGAAAAAAGGGGTCCCTTCATGTCAGCCTCCTCCTGGGTTCCGCCGGGCAACCATGAGGGCGCTGTCGGCCGGGAGCGGTGTGATCGCTGATGCGAAATGAGGTGGGATGGGGTGAGCATTCACTCAGCCCCCCTCCACCTACACTACGCTCCCCAGGAGGGAATGAGCAGCGGGGGCTGCAGCTGAGCACGCCTTGCCCCGGAGGAACCATCCGGTTCGCCCCGAGGGTCAGCGATAAGAGGAAAAAATACAAGATGGCGTTGTCCAGCGTGTAGTGACCTGTCACTGGGAAATGTTCCCCGATGCTTACCTTGGAATAAGACTGCTCGTCATCTTCTCCTCGGGGAGGAGAACTCACCGGACGACCGGAGGTCGACTGCCGGGCCAAGCATCCTTCACAAAGGTTGGTCATTTACACAATTTACCTTCTTTGTTCTTCTGACAGTGCTATTTTTAGCTCGCTGAAGAAAAAATGGGAGCCGATTTCCCGCTCTTAACGTAATTTATACGGACCGGGTGGGGCCCACACAGCAGGTGGGCGTGGACTAAATTTTTTCAGTGCTTATGCTGCGCATAACGGGATAAACCCATCAGCGACAGCCTTAAAGGGCGAAGCCTATATGACATAGAACTGTATTGCTCATTACTCAAAAGATTATGTTTATCTATAAATTTGTCCAGCCTGGACACAAATAATCTTTCAAGAATTTTAGAAAACTGTGGCAACAACGATATAGGTCTATAATTTCTAAACAAACTTTTCTCACCATTTTTAAAAATTGGAATCACCTTTGCGATTTTCATTCTTTCTGGGAAAATGCCTTTAGAAAATGATAAATTACAGATATATGTAAATGGTTCCAACACATTACTTATTATTTCCTTCACAATCCACATATTCACTTTGAATGCTAGGAAACACCTTGTAACTGTGACTTTCCTTCCCTCCATTGATTACGGTGATATTATTTACATGAACGCTCCTACAAGCACCCTGCAGATGTTGGATGCTGCAGATGTTGGATGCTGTCTATCATGGTGCACTAAGCTTCATAACTGGCTGTGATTATCGTACTCACCACTGCACCCTGTATTCACTGGTTAACTGGACATCATTAACTTCACGCAGACTCTCTCACTGGTACATTTTCATCTTTAAATCACTTCCTGGTCTATTGCCTTCATACATCTCCTCCTACATGTCTCTGCGTGAGTGCAGCTACAGCGTGCACTCTCAGGACATTATTACCTGCAGTGTTCCCTCAATGAGGACTGAACTAGACAAAAGGACCTTCTCCGACTCCGCTCTTGTTTCCTGGAATATCTTACAAAAAGACCTGAAGCTCTCCACTTTGACCTCTCTAAGTGGCTTTAAAAATCTGTTGGACTCTTGGCAAGGACCAATGCAGACATGTTCCTGTTTTTAATTTTCTACATTCACCTTAGAATCTAGCTCTTTTTGTTATTTTTTTGCCATCTTTTTGTGTAAAAAATCTGTATGCCTTTTTATAATTGTTTATTGTTGTCGCTGTTGTCCATCGTTGTCATCATTCTTTGTTGAAATCAGGTCTCTCTTGTAAATGAGTCCTCGAGGCTCAATGGGATTAACCTGTCTAAATAAAGGTTGAATGAATGAGAATATCATTAGTAACTTTCACCAGTGCAGATTCAGTGATGTGGTGAGCTCTAAATCCTGCCTAAAATCTTCAAACAGATTTTTTCTTTGCAGATGATCATGTAACTGACCAGCAACTATTGTCTCTAGAATTTTTGAAATGCAAGTTAGATTAGATATAGGGCTATAATTAGTTTGGATTCCTGAGTCAAGTTTATGTTTCTTAAATAAAGGTTTAATTACAGCAATCTTAAAGCTCTGTGGTACATAGCCATTTATTCAAAGCATGAAACAAAAATACAGAAACAAGGTGCCAAAAGTGAAAAAGAAATAAATATACAACAGCATGGTCCTATTGGCAGAGTGGTTCTGATGCCAGTGAGGTTATGTTAGCAACATGGTCCAGTTTGCAGCATGATCCCGTTAGCAGTGAGGGTCGGTTAGCAGCGTGGTCTTGTTAGCGTTAGCAGGTCCTCTTAGCAGGTCCTTTCAGCAGCTTGATGAAAATACAGACCGCAGCAGCTACCTTCCAGTCTGCCCTCCAGAACTGGTTGTGACAGACAGAGAACATCCAAGGTTCCCCCACGGAACCAAGCGGGTCTGTATAGTTCAGTCCGTGCAGACAGATGGAGGATCTTGTTAGCAGCATTAGCAGGTCTACTAAGCAGGTCCTGTCAGCAGATTGACGGTAATAATGACCATGGTATCTGCCCTCCCGGACTGCTCTCCAGAACCGGGTCCGGCAGACGGAGAACAGCCAAGGTTTCCCAGTGGAACCGAACAGGTCTGTAGAGTTCGGTCCGTGCAGGCAGATGGAGGATCATGGAGACAGCCATCATGACAGGCCTCAGCCAGAGGCTGGAAGGACTGAACCACAATGGCAACAGAAAACTCCACAAGTGTGTCGCGATAATACCCGTACCGTGGATGTGCACTGTATGCGTAAAAAATAAAAGGTTAAAACAAAAGCAACAGGAACATAAAAAGATCAAGTTCACCAATCAGTAACTGTACTTCATAAAAAAAAAAATCAGTTTTTCTAATATTTCTTTAAATTAGTCAGAGGATGGATTGCTTTTGGCTCTCTTCTAGCCAGAATACTTATTTTATGCGGATGGAAGGATTCACATCCCTGGCATATGAACACTGGATAAGAGAAGCCATGTATCATATTAATCTGGAAAAGATTAGATATACCCTGAAAGATTCTGTTGAGATATTTTGGAACACTTGGCAGCCATTTATGTCTTATGTTGAAAATATATCAATGCCTGTGTAATGTGTTCCTGTTTGTGTGGCTGATCTGTTGTGGGAGGGGATTTTGTTGTGTTTTTTTTTTTTTTCTTCTTTTCTCTTTTTGTGTGTGTGTTGTGAAAAAAATCTATAAAAAGACAGATTAAAAGTTAGTCCTAGGGTGGTGTTGGTCAAGATAAATATTGGCCTTGTGTTACATGAACCTGTTTCAGTTCTTTGTGTTTGTAGACGTTGAAGCTTTACATGCTACTGTAGCACAGCTGAAAGTTTCCATCCTTCCTGTCTTCATTACAGTGGGACCTGGTGTGTTCAAATGCCAGCCTGAATAATTTAGGCTCCTCCATCTACATGTTTGGTCTCCTTGTTGGAGCTCTTGTATTTGGACACTTAGCTGATAAGTAAGTTGAACATCTATCCAGTAGTCATTGATGAACAAACCCTAAAATCTCAAATGTGTAATAGTTTATTTTGTATATTTATTTTTACAATTTTCTTGTGTTCTTCAGATATGGCCGCAGGATCATCATCCTCATCAGTCTGGCTCTCCAAGTTACCTTTGGTGTTGCTGCTGCTTTTGCCTCTAATTTTTACATCTACACTGCCCTTCGTTTTATGGTCGGAACATCCATCTCTGGTGTTATCATGAACGCCTTTGTCCTAGGTAAGTCTCTCAAAGACCTCCACTCATCCTTACACAGACCTCTCAAACCTCCAAAAAAAGAAACTTGAAAACAAAACAAAACTGTGAATTAATGACATTCTTGAGATATATGCCAAAAGTAAAAAAAAAATGTATGAACACATTAAATGAGCAGTTATTGTGTACTTTGATAGGTCATGCGAAATTATTTGTTTATTCTTATTTCAAGACAAAGGATAACCATTTCCAAAGTAAAGGCATAGCATTCCTTAAAATATTGTATACAACCAGCTGCCTTTCATGCCAGAGTTTTAAAATGATTATCATGAATATAAAGAACAACGTAATACTGGTACATGTTTTGGTCAGACCATGTAAATGACTTTATGAATGAGTTCCTATGTGAGCTCTTGCAAGATGTTTCTGCTCCAGAAGTATATGATGGAATTGACTCTCTTTTACTGTCACACCAAACTGTGTCTCATCATCTGTAAAACTGATTAAGTAATAGTGTTGGTTAAGGCCAAATTCCTATGGTGACCATGTTGAATGAGTTTGACTCCACCAAAGCAAACAAATTAGTCTTCCTAAAGACTATTTCCCTATTTCTTCACCAATCCAGAAAATCTTGGTATCAATATTTTTGTTTTATCAAGTTCTATCCATTAAAACAAAAATTCATGGACTTAGATTTTTTTTTGTCTCATAACTACATGGAGTATGAAGAAAAAGGCTAAAGTCTGTCCAGGTGTGGCTAATGGCTAGCCAAATGAGGGCTAATATAATTGTAACTAATTTTCAAGGCTTATAAAGCAATTCATTCTCAAATCAACATACTAGACTGAATGAAGGCTACATGAGATAATTTTACATTTCTACAATTTGTCAGGATTGAATAGTAAATTGCCGTCCCCTCAACTGATTGATTGGGCTGATGATGCCAAGGCTTCCTAATTCCTCAGTTTGATGGGAATTGAACTTTTGGAGTGACTAAATTTTCTGACCAGGCAGATTCTTTAGTAGCCTTGGCAGACTGTTTCTACGCTGAGCACGCATACATTGGCGTAGTAATCCAAACGTTGTTTGGTTGACAAAACTGACAAACTAAGCAAACTGTGTCATTCAAAAGTTTAGGTTTATTATGAATAGTGCTGCCAATCAAAAAAAAAATCTGATTAATCACACTCTGGGGCTGTGATTAATCACAATTGTTCACTATGCTTACCTTTGTAAGCTTGAAATGTAAATATGTAGGTTTTCATAAAATGTTGAAGAAAATGTTTTAGTGTCTCAAGCCAAACAGTTTTCCATGTTGTCATACTTAGCAAGGTTTACAGTAGTCATTTTGTTTCAAACATTAATTTATACAAGTTAACTCAAATGTCTCATTGTCATCTATGTGATCGAAACATTTAAACACGCAATATTCCCTTTAATTTTTTATGTGTCTGGGCAAACACACAAGCTCCCTGAGCATCTGAGCATCCATCTGCATCCTCTGTCCTCACTCCAACTACCTCCATGTCCTCGCTAACTACATGTATATACTGTATCTGTCATGTGTTTGCCCCTTTTTACTGCCTCAGCCTGTCATATTTCATGTTTTGTTTTCTCCTGCTATGTTTTCTGCCCTGTCACTCATTCAGCTCATGTTACTGCACCACACCTCCTCTGCTTGCCTCTGCAATCAGCTTCATTCATCACACTGTTCATCTCCCTTCTTAAGCTCCCTGTTCACCCTCATTCAGTGCCAGATTCTCTAACGCGGATTGGGCAACATTTTTGGGAATGAACGAAAGAGAAATGGCAAAAATAGACAGACGTGAAAATTAATCAAACATGTCAGTCTGTTCATCTATTGTAGAGGCAGCAAATAAATCTGTAAAGAAGAAAGGAGGAAAGAATAACAAAAAGATTGTTCCATGGTGGACAAAGAAATGTGAAAAAGTCATTAAGTTGAGAAATAAGGCATTTAATTTTTTTTTAAAGAATTATAATACTCAGAATCTTATTGATTATTAAAAAAAACTCCAAAGAGTTGTAAGAAGAACCATAAAAAAACAAAACGAGAATATTGGAGGGATTTTGAAATTCAGTGGGAAAAGAAACAGAAATAGGTCAAGTTTGGTCGATGATTAAAATAATGAACAAAGTAAGACAAGAGTATGGATATCCAGTTTTGAGTGATAAGAAGTAACAGCAGTTGAAAATGAGAAGAAACCAGAAATGTTGGGTAAAGCTTTTATTAAAATGTATAGTTCAAATAATATTAGGGAAAAAGGAAAAAGAAGAGAGAGAACGCAACAGAAAATAAAAAGTTCTTAGAAGAAGAGGAAGGAGAAAATGGTTTATTCAATATACCATTTACTAAAACTGAATTAAATTGAGCACTTCAAAAATGTAAAATGTCAGTACCAGGAAATGATCAGATTTGTTACATAATGACAAAGCATCTCAGTGAACCATCAAAAGACATTCTTTTGGAATTATATAATAGTCTGGGAAGAAGGAAAATTAAAGCTGCAAGCAGCAATGGAGGCCCTGGCAGCAAAGCGCCGCTCCGGCCTTATGGCGACCGCGGGAGCTCCAGCTAGTCCACCAAGATGCCATCTCGAACACTCTCGTGCCAATCCCGCACGCGTTCACCACGGGGCGCATTTCCCAAATCTTCAACATTGCCTTTCGTCCATGTCAGTACATGTCCAGCTTCAGGTCTTCCAAGTATAGGCGAAATCTGACCTTCCAGACAGGAGTTATTGTGACTTGCTGTTTTGTGACGGATGTTTGACGAGCACTTCCTTTATGCTTTTCAACATGTCATGTGTGGTAATGAACAGTTAGCGAACAAAGTTTCAGTCTAATATCTTACACAGGGCGAAGCTGTAAGAGTCATCCAATAATCAACAGTTTTATTTCTGAGTTGGTGGGGCTTAAGTGATGTCATGAATCAACAATACCAATGTGTCTACAAGTGCTCACTGATTAAGTACAAAAAAATCAGGTGCAGATCAGATGATGTATCACTAAGATATAACTGTTTGAATAATGTAGGGGGCGCACTGGAGTTTAGTGTTAAACAACAATACTAATGTGTCTACAAGTGCTCACTGATGACGTACAATGAATCTCATACAGATTGGATCATGTATCACTGAGATATAACTGTTGGAATAATCTAGGGGGTGCACTGGAGTCATATGTTAAACCACCACATCAATGTGTCTAGACATGCTTACTGATGATGCACAATAAATCTGGTTCAGATCGGATGATGTATCATTGATATATAACTGTAGGAATAATATAGGAGCACTGTGGAGACTATTGGCCACTTATCATGGATTCCTGTTCAAAGGGTGGATAATGATCGATCATACTGATTTTGGTGCACCTGGGTTCAAATCTGTGGAATTTATAGCCAGTATTGCAATGGTGTCACTTCTGAATTCGTCACGCCGCCACGCCCACATCCTCCTTTGAAAACTGTTTGTAATTTAAAGTAATCAAACCAACTTGTTATATGTCTTCTAACACAGGATCATCCTGATTAGGTCAAGGGTGTCAGAGAGGGAGAATTCCAAGTTAAAAAAGTGACTTCCTGTTCTGAGGGGACGGGGCTTTAATGATGTCAAAATATGACCACAGAGGATCGTCGGGCATCCAACAGTGATGACTCAGGCCAAGTTTGGTGCATTTCGGTCTTTCAAAGTAACAGTTACAGTGTTTTGAAATTTACAGCTTGAAGGGCAACTTTGAGGCCTGGCCACGCCCCTTTAAAAGGGACAGATATAATAAGATTTTTTCTTCTTTCTTCTGCCTTTCATTTTAAATCTTTTGTATCTTTTTTATATTGTTATGGAATTGTTTTGTACTTTTTAAAAATGAATAAACATTATACCATACCATACATTTATGTTTTTAAATTTAATGAAAGACAAACCTTTAAAATTTAAGGACAAAATATAATCTAATTGTTTTCAAGCCTATAGCTTATTGTAAAAGCAGTTTCAAAGATTACAGCACAGTGTGATGTTTTGCAATTTTAACATGAACCTTGTGCATATCTGCAAATAATGAAAGTGAAGATATTTTAATACATCTTTATTGTAAAAATCTATACTAAAATGTAAAACATGGGTTTAAAGCAGCAGGAAGGCAGTAAGGTAGGATTATGAATCAGGTTTAAAAGTTACAGCTGTAGATGAACAGATGCTGAGATATATTCACCTGATTAAAACGGATTCTTTCATTTTTCTGGACTGAATATAAACGTGCATTGAATTTAATAAAATGTAACGTGAGACGTTATTTATCTTTGACCCATCAAAATGAATGTGGTAATTTATTTACAGAATCAAAGTTAACATCAAACATTTACATTAATTTGGCAAAATATGAAAATAACAACATAATTAATCAGCTTTACAGGTAGTGAGAAACAATACGACGATTGTTTCACTTTTCAGCAGAACAGCAGACATCAAATCACAAAGCGATGATTGAGAACTTTGCTTCAGACATTTCTAAAAATATCTGTCAATGATTTCTACTTGATAGAAGCATTTTTAAAGATGGAAAGATGAAGTTTAGTGGGAGTGAAAGATGGATGAGGGAGAATGTGGTGTGTATGAGTGAAAAGTGTTGACAGGACGACACCCTCCATCCGACCCAGCTT